AAGCAACAGCGCGTGGCGCTAGCCATATCAAAGCTCGGTGGTCGAGCGCGAGAATGGCACTGACGTGCGGCCCTTCGGTCGGAGCTGCGTTTTCCTCCTGGGCGAGGCGGAAATTGCGAGTGTTCTCGTTGCCTAATCAGTCGTATCGCATGCGATCGCGTCTCCTTGCCACCCGACAGGGCAGCAGGGAATTGGTGAACTTTGTCCAAGAGTTGCGAGCTCATATTCCCGGGATGGCAGCAAATCCTCTCCCGGATGCGGTCACTGTGACCGTGTTTATGGAAGGCCTCCGCACTGGCGTGGTCAGAATGGAAGTCTTCCGTGTGCATCCGTCCTCATTTGAAGAGGTGGTGAATGTGGCATTGAATGCCGAATTTAATTTTAAGTTGGCACGACTTACTTGGAATGCACACTCCAACAGCTCGTCGAGCGGGCCTATGCCCATGGATCTCAGCTATGCTGAGGACGAGTGAGCAGAGCTCCGAGCTGCCGACAGCATGCAAATACACGACGGTGTTTTGTCTGTGGAGACACCCGTCACCTGCGGAACGGTTGCCTTCTGCGCAAGGCGCGCCAAGGTTCTTGGAACCATCGCCCTAACGCCTACTAGTTCGATCCGTCGCGGGGAGACGACACCACTTGGTAGGCGCGGGGCAACCTACTGGAGCCCCAGAGAGCATTGATCAACAGGATCCAGCGCTAAAGAGCTCCGTGCTCTTACGCACGGAGCGTGTGTGCAAGCCGGGCTTAGAGAAGCCATGGAATATCCTCATAGATTCTGGGGCGTCGGGCAATCATGCTCGACGCTCCACGATGGAGGGAAATCAGCTGTTAACTGAGACAGTGAAGCGCGGTTGGGTAGCATCGTCACTGTTCGCTTAGCGACGGGGACGCGTGTCACGGTCCCGAAGGTCCCTGTGAATCTCGAAGTCACGTTTCTTGACTTTGATAGCGTGGAAAGCTGTCTAGTCTTAAATGGATGCAAGGTATGACCTCAATG